GTGTTCCTTCTTTCTTATGTTCTTAGGTGCTACTGGTACCAACAGCCTAGCTAATCAGGCCATTAACCATTGGGACTGGTCTTGGTCTAGACCACATGGTCAATGACCACCAAAACTAATAACAAGTGCTCTTCAAATTTCAAGTTGTTTCTCCTTTATAAACTTTTTTTTTTTAATTTCCACAATGCATAGAAAGGGGTTTAGTTATAGGTAATACATATTTTAAGAAAAAGAGGATAAATAAGTATACAAGATATGATGTAGGGCAAAATGACAGTAGTTTGTTTGGATTATGTATTGGTAGATAAGACTGTTGAGTAGACTTCAGGATGTACATGTTTATAGAGGGGCCACAGATATATCAGATCACTTTCTAGTTGTAGCTACACTGAGAGTAAAAGGTAGATGGGATACAAGGAGAATAGAAGCATCAGGGAAGAGAGAGGTGAAGGTTTATGAACTAAAAGAGGAGGCAGTTAGGGTAAGATATAAACAGCTATTGGAGGATAGATGGGCTAATGAGAGCATAGGCAATGGGGTCGAAGAGGTATGGGGTAGGTTTAAAAATGTAGTGTTAGTGTTCAGCAGAAGTTTGTGATAACAGGAAAGTGGGTGCAGGAGGGAAGAGGAGCGATTGGTGGAATGATGATGTAAAGAGAGTAATCAGGGAGAAAAAGTTAGCATATGAGAAGTTTTTACAAAGTGGAAGTGATGCAAGGAGGGAAGAGTATATGGAGAAAAAGAGAGAGGTTAACAGAGTGGTGAAGCTATGTAAAAAGAGAGCAAATGAAAGGGTGGGTGAGATGTTATCAACAAATTTTGTTGAAAATAAGAAAAAGTTTTGGAGTGAGATTAACAAGTTAAGGAAGCCTAGAAAACAATTGGATTTGTCAGTTAAAAAATAGGAGAGGAGAGTTATTAAATGGAGAGTTAGAGGTATTGGGAAGATGGAGAGAATATTTTGAGGAATTGTTAAATGTTGATGAAGATAGGGAAGCTGTGATTTCATGTATAGGGCAAGGAGGAATAACATCTTGTAGGAGTGAGGAAGAGCCAGTTGTGAGTGTGGGGGAAGTTTGCAAGGCAGTAGGTAAAATGGAAGGGGGTAAGGCAGTTTGAATTGATGGGATAAAGATAGAAATGTTAAAAGCAGGTGGGGATATGGTTTTGGAGTGGTTGGTGCTATTATTTAATAAATGTATGGAAGAGGGTAAGGTACCTAGGGATTGGCAGAGAGCATGCATAGTTCCTTTGTATAAAGGCAAAGGGGACAAAAGAGAGTGCAAAAATTATAGGGGGATAAGTCTGTTGAGTATACCTAGTAAAGTGTATGGTAGTTATTATTGAAAGAATTAAGAGCAAGATGGAGAAGAGGATAGCAGATGAACAAGGAGGCTTTAGGAAAGGTAGGAGGTGTGTGGACCAGGTATTTACAGTGAAACATATGAGTGAACAGTATTTAGAGAAGGCTAAAGAGGTTTTTGTGGCATTTATGGATTTGGAAAAGGCGTATGACAGGGTGGATAGGGGGGCAATGTGGCAGATGTTGCAGGTGTATGGTATAGGAGGTAGGTTACTGAAAGAAGTGAAGAGTTTTTACGAGGATAATGAGGCTCAAGTTAGAGTATGTAGGAAAGAGGGAGATTATTTCCCAGTAAAAGTAGGCCTTAGACAAGGATGTGTGATGTGTCTGTGGTTGTTTAATATATTTATAGATGGGGTTGTAAGAGAAGTAAATACGAGGGTCTTGGCAAGAGGCATGGAGTTAAAAGATAAAGAATCGCACACAAAGTGGGAGTTGTCACAGTTGCTCTTTGCTGATGACACTGTGCTCTTGGGTGATTCTGAAGAGAAGTTGCAGAGGTTGGTGGATGAATTTGGTAGGGTGTGTAAAAGAAGAAAATTGAAAGTGAATACAGGAAAGAGGAAGGTTATGAGGATAACAAAAAGATTAGGTGATGAAAGATTGGATATTAGATTGGAGGGAGAGAGTATGGAGGAGGTGAATGTATTCAGATATTTGGGAGTGGACGTGTCAGCGAATGGGTCTATGAAAGATGAGGTGAATCATAGAATTGATGAGGGGAAAAGGGTGAGTGGTGCACTTAGGAGTCTGTGGAGATAAAGAATTTTGTCCTTGGAAGCAAAGAGGGGAATGTATGAGAGTATAGTTTTACCAACACTCCCGTATGGGTGTGAAGCATGGGTGATGAATGTTGCAGCGAGAAGGCTGGAGGCAGTGGAGATGTCTGAGGGCAATGTGTGGTGTGAATATAATGCAGAGAATTCGTAGTTTGGAAGTTAGGAGGAGGTGCGGGATTACCAAAACTGTTGTCCAGAGGGCTGAGGAAGGGTTGTCGAGGTGGTTCGGACATGTAGAGAGAATGGAGCGAAACAGAATGACTTTAAGAGTGTATCAGTCTGTAGTGGGAGGAAGGCGGGGTAGGGGTTGGCCTAGGAAAAGTTGGAGGGAGGGGGTAAAGGAGGTTTTGCGTGCGAGGGGCTTAGACTTCCAGCGGGCATGCGAGCGTGTTTGATAGGAGTGAATGGAGACAAATGGTTTTTAATACTTGATGTGCTGCACTCTGAAGGAGGGGTGTTAATGTTGCAGTTTAAAAACTGTAGTGTAAAACATCCTTCTGGCAAGACAGTGGTGGAGTGAATGATGGTGAAAGTTTTTCTTTTTCGGGCCACCCTGCCTTGGTGGGAATCGGCTGGTGTGATAATAAATATATAATAATAACGTGCTGTTGGAGTGTGAGCAAAGTAACATTTGTGAAGGGATTCGGGGAAACCGGCAGGCTGGACTTGAGTCCTGGAGATGGGAAGTACAGTGCCTGCACTCTGAAGGAGGGGTGTTAATGTTGCAGTTTAAAAGCTGTAGAGTAAAGCACCCTTCTGGCAAGACAGTGATGGGGTGAATGATGGTGAAAGTTTTTCTTTTTCGGGCCACCCTGCCTTGGTGGGAATCGGCCAGTGTGTTAATAAAAAAAAAAAATGCATACTTCTACTACAACTTTTTTGTCTTGTGGCCTTACTACTAATTGATTGTCCCAGATGTGTTGCATACATCCTGTATATTACTGTATGTATTGTTCTTATTGCATGAACCTTCTCTCATATTGGAAGAAATTTTACTCAGCTTAGACCATTTTAATACATTTCTTAGAAGGTAAGTCGAATGGCAGGAACAACGAGCTGTTTACCTCTTTCCCTTTGGATTATTTGAATTTTCTTGTGGTATATGTGTGTGTGTGTGTGTTTGTGCTTATAGTTTCAGTTTTATTACATAGTTTCTCAGTGTATATGTTTTTATTTACTTTTTCTTTCCAGGAATGCTGAGTGATTTAATTTGTCAGAGTAGTTTTCAAAGATAAAACTTCCTTCCTACCTCCTCCCTTTCAGCTGTTAATCAAAAGACCACAAGGAAATGTATAATATAGTCCTCTCAGGGTCACGTGCTTCTGTGGGAAATGTTTTAAAAGATACATGTTTACATCAGGATAGTGGAGCACTACAAATTTGAATTAGTTAAGGTCAAGGCCTTCTCAGATTACTAATTTTTATGCATTTCTGGAGCTCTAATTAAACTGCACAGTTTTGGTCACCGTATTACAGAATGGATATAAATGTTCTGGAAAACTACAAAGGAGGATGACAAAGTTGATCCCATGTATCAGAAATCTTCCTTATGAGGATAGACCGAGGGCCCTGAATCTGCACTCTAGAAAGGCGTAGAATTAGGGGGCATATGATTGAGTGAATGGAGACGAATGGTACTTGGGACCTGACGATCTGTTGGAGTGTGAGCAGAGTAATATTTAGTGAAGGGATTCAGGGAAACCAGTTATTTTCATATAGTCGAACTTGAGTACTGGAAATGGGAAGTACAATGCCTGCCCTTTAAAGGAGGGGTTTGGGATATTGGCAGTTTGGAGGGATATGTTGTGTATCTTTATACGTATATGCTTCTAAACTGTTGTATTCTGAGCATCTCTGCAAAAACAGTGATAATGTGTGTGTGGTGAAAGTGTTGAATGATGATGAAAGTATTTTCTTTTTGGGGATTTTCTTTCTTTTTTGGGTCACCCTGCCTCGGTGGGAGACGGCTGACTTGTTGAAAAAAAAAAAAATGATTGAGGTGTATAAATGGAAGACTGGAATAAATAAAGGGGATGTAAATAGCATGCTGAAAATATCTAGCCTAGACAGGACTCGCAGCAATGGTTTTAAGTTGGAAAAATTCAGGTTCAGGAAGGATATGGGAAAGCACTGGTTTGTTAGTAGGGTTGTGGATGAGTGGAACAAACTCCCAAGTACAGTTATAGAGGCTAAAATGTTGTGTGGTTTTAAAAATAGGTTAGATAAATACATGAGTGGGTGTGAGTTGGACCTGATTAGCTTGTGCTACTAGGTCAGTTGCCATGTTCCTTCCTTAAGTGAATGTGACCTGACCTGACTAGGTTGGGGCATTGGCTTAAACCGATAGGAGACTTGGACCTGCCTCGCATGGGCCAGTAGGCTTGCTGCGGTGTTCCTTCTTACTTATGTCTTATACCATTTACTGTATACAGTATTTAATAGAAGTTGTGGATTTATTGCTGCAGGAAAGATAAATTATCTCTACAGTAGCTCTCCTTTGAAGGGAGATTCTTTGATGTTAATGAGGGACTCTTGATCTAAGGAATTGGACCTGTGCTCTCCTTCCTTGGATCAGCCCTGGAGCTGTATGATCTATAAGCTTAGTGCTCCCCATGATAATGCAGTTAGCTCTTGTGACACTTTTAACAAGCTTAATGATAGACTGGTTTTTGTTTACAATACAGTATTTTGTTCTATCCTGTGAAGTTATTGGGTATGGAGAATCTGGAAACTTTAGCACCTCAGGTTTCCAGAGTCCTAACATTTGCCGATTTATGATGCTCACTCGTATTACAGGTGCAGAATATGCTTTATTTTGTTTGGCCAAAATGGTTGATAAATAATTTCTGTATTTTCAGAAAGATGGAATGTCAGTTTTTGAGCATGAGAATCCTGACATTGTGTGCCTACAGGAAACCAAGTGTGCTATTGCAAAACTACCCAATGATATCAAGGACATCAATGGTTACAAAAGTTACTTCATGTCTGGTAAATTTTTTTTTTTCTGAGAATAGCTTTTCTTTGCTTTGCTACACATTTAATAATAACTTATTTGTCAATTACAGGTATATTTTCCTACTTGTACTTTCACTCCGGTCACACTACACATCCATGTACACAATTCACAGGCTGCAGTTTGTGCCCCTTGTTCATTTTTCTGTTAATTCATTGACAGTTGTTTATTACAACTTAATATAAGTTAATATACTATATCCTATAAATTAAAATGAACTAGAAATTTACTCCTCATTATATGTTAATATGTTACAGCTAAACTAGATGGGTACTCTGGTGTTGGGCTCATCTCCAAGTTAGAGCCGCTGGTCGTGACTTATGGCATCAAGGATAAGGCACATGACGATGAAGGACGCTGTATCACTGCAGAATATGAAAAATTTTATTTAGTCACTGTTTGTAAGTATTGTAGGACTCAAAACTTTCAGCATAATGGATTTTTTTTTTTTTTTGCTGAAGTGGACACCCCTTAACCCTGTTAATTCATTTTATTGGATGTTTACTGTACTGATACTTGGACTAGATTCTATACCAAGTGTTATTATCTCGGACTGAAGTTGTTACTCTATATAAATCAAATATAGGCAGAAAACTTTTAACATTTTCTTAATTTCTTTAGAAGTTCCAAAGGAGAATAACATCAGTGGGTAAGAGAGAGAGAAAAGTAAAAGTAAATGAACTAATGGAGGAGACAGTGGGAGGTATATTCATTTATTAGTAGAAAGGTGGGCTAGAGAGAGAGAATACAGATATTGAAATTCAGGGTAATTTTGAGAATATGAATGCTAGTGTTGGAGAATGGTGTGGGATTAAAAGGTGATATAATAATAAGTGGGAGTTACCTCAGCTGCTGTTTCTGATAACACAGTTCTGGAAGATTGAGGGAAAAATGTTAAGGCTGATGATGGAATTTTGGTGTGTGTAAGACGGGGAAATTAAAAATTAGCATATAAAAGAACAAGGTAACGAGTCACAAACTTTTCAATGAAAAATTGCATATCAGATTGGAAGGATAGTATAGAGGAAGTAAAAGTATTTAGATTTTTTTTTTTTTAACAAGTCGGCCGTCTCCCACCGACGCAGGGTGACCCAAAAAAGAAAGAAAATCCCCCAAAAGAAATACTTTCATCATTCAACACTTTCACCTCACTCTCACGTAATCACTGTTTTTGCAGAGGTGCTCAGAACACAACAGTTTAGAAACATATACCTATAAAGATACACAGCATATCCCTCCAAACTGCTAATATCCCGAACCCTTCCTTTAGAGTGCAGGCATTGTACTTCCCATTTCTAGGACTCGAGTCCTGCTATATAAAAATAACCGGTTTCCCTGAATCCCTTCACTGAATATTACCCTGCTCACACTCCAACAGCTCGTCAGGTCCCAAATACCATTCTTCTCCATTCACTCCTATCTAACACGCTCGCGCACGCTTGCTGGAAGTCCAAGCCCCTCGCCCACAACACCACCTTTACCCCCTCCCTCCAACCTTTCCGAGGACGACTCCTACCTCACCTTCCTTCCCCTACAGATTTATACGCTCTGTCATTCTACTTCGATCCATTCTCTCTAAATGACCAAACCACCTCAACAACCCTTCTTCAGCCCTCAGACTAATACTTTCATTAACTCTACACCTTCTCCTAATTTCCATACTCCAAATGTTCCAAATGCAGAAAGAAAGCTTGTTACAATGTTCTTGTTTCTCCAGATGTTCCAAATGCAGGAAGAAAACTTGTTACGTTGGACAAAAGGATGGATTGGGATCCCAAGTTTCTCAAATACCTTAAAGACCTTGATGCAAAAAAACCCATTATTGTGTGTGGGGACCTCAATGTGGCACACAATGAAATTGGTAAGTTGACATTTGCATTCTTTCTCAAACTTTGGGATTCTTGTAATTATTTTTTTGTTTTTGTTTTTTAACACACCGCCTGTCTCCCACTGAAGCAGGGTGACCTAAAAAAACAAAAAAAACTTTCACCATATAATCACTGTCAATGCAGAGGCGCTCAGATACGACAGTTTAGAGGTCACTACAAACAGCCAATATCCCAAACTCCTCCTTTAAAGTGCAGGCATTGTACTTCCCATCTCCAGGACTCTAGTCTGGCTGACTGGTTTCCCTGAATCTCTTCAAAAAATATTAGTTATTGCAAAATAAATTAATGTGAGTGTTAACTGTAGCAATCTCAGAAAGCAAAGAGTTTGCATAAATGGGGAGAAATCAGAATGGGGGCACGTCACAAGCGGTGTTCCACAGGGGTCAGTGTTGGGCCCCTTGTTGTTCACAATTTACATAAACGATATAGATTAGGGAGTAAATAACGACATGAGCAAATTTTGCTGATGACACCAGAATAGGCCGTCCAATTCATTCTATTGAGGACATTATTCAAATTATCCTGGAGTGCACTAGACTGATGCAGTGGTCGGAGAAGTGGCAGATGTAGTTTAATATAGACAAATGCAAAGTTATAAATGTTGGACAGGACTATAACCATGCCATGTACACTTCGAGAGTGTACAAATCTGTAGTGGAGGGAAGGCGGGGTAGGGGTTGGCCTAGGAAAGATTGGAGGGAGGGGGTAAAGGAGGTTTTGTGTGCGAGGGGCTTGGACTTCCAGCAAGCATGCATGAGCGTATTTGATAGGAGTGAATGGAGACAAATGGTTTTTAATATTTGACGTGCTGTTGGAGTGTGAACAAAGTAACATATGTGAAGGGATTCAGGGAAACCGGCACTCTGGATTTGAGTCCTGGAGAGGGAAGTACAGTGTCTGCACTTTGAGGAGGGGTGATAATGTTGCAGTTTTATAAACTAGTGTAAAGCACCCCTCTGGCAAGACAGTGATGGAGTGAATGATGATTCCCACCCTGCCTTTGTGGAAATTGGCCGATGTGCATACTAAAGGTATGCACATGAGCCTCAGTATAAACAAGCTTACAAACTTAATTAGATGCTGAGTGGCATATTACACACCTTGTTTACATGTCCTGTTGAGTCATACACTGTGTGGACCCGCCTGATTCTATATTTTTTTTATTTCCTTGGTGTGACAAGGTGGGAGGACACACACACCATTGACCTGAGGCATAAAATTACAGCTGGCAGAAAATTTAAGGCCTACAGAAATTCATGTTTATATACATTGTGTTCAGTACCTGCATATATTTACATCATCCACAGTTCCAGTGTTAAAAGAAGTGCAATGGGCATCTGCCTGGATGCATGCTGTGAAGATGTCAGTGGAGTTCATTGTAGGACAAAATACAGACTATTATCTTCAGTCTCCTGTGTATCATTAAATCTACCACAGGAAAGCTTGTAACTGTCCTAAAACTTGGACAAGAAATTTTAGATCCTAATACTTTGGAAACTCATCCTTGTCTTCACTTTCTTTGTTCTCCTTCCTCAACTTCTCGGTGTCTTTATTAGTCAGCTCACATCATATGATGTGATATCTACGTTGACTGCATTGTTCTTGCAAAGTGATACCAATGACTTTGCAAAGTGAGGCACAACACTTCTGTGCCAGACATGGCAGAATCAATAACAGCATATCCTTCATATCCCTGATTTTGGCTAAATTGTTCACATGCCATGGAAAGTATGTCAAATTCACCTGTGCAGTAGGACCCCACTTTGCTGTGTTTCGCCTTACGCTGTTCCGCTAATACGGCAATTTCAAATTACAGCCAAAATTTGCTATATGGCAAGCGGTCTTTCAAATACGGCGTGCCCCACCTTGTTTGTTTACATTCTCCTTGAGCACATCTGTTATGTCAGGAAACTTTCCAAAATTTCAAGTGTTTTAAAGTTATTGCGTATTTTTTTTTCTCTCTCTCTCTCAACAAGTTGGCAGTCTCCCACCGAGGCAGGGTGACCCAAAAAAGAAAGAAAATCCCCAAAAAGAAAATACTTTCATCATCATTCAACACTTTCACCACACTCACACATTATCACTGTGTTTGCAGAGGTGCTCAGAATACAACAGTTTAGAAGCATATACGTATAAAGATACACAACATATCCCTCCAAACTGCCAATATCCCAAACCCCTCCTTTAAAGTGCAGGCATTGTACTTCCCATTTCCAGGACTCGAGTCCAACTACAGTGGACCCCCGCATACCGCACGCATCGCATACCGTACAATCCGCATACCGCTCGCTTTTTTCGCAAAAATTTTGCCTCGCATACCGCCCAAAAACCCCCTTCTCCGCCCTTAGTCCGAGACGCGTCCAATGTGCGGCCTGAGCCACGCTCACATGTTCCGCCGGTGGCATTGTTTACCAGCCAGCCTCCGCGGTAACATCCAAGCATACAATCGGAACATTTTGTATTATTACAGTGTTTTTGGTGATTTTTTCTGGAAAATAAGTGACCATGGGCCCCAAGAAAGCTTCTAGTGCCAACCCTACAGCAATAAGGGTGAGAATTACTATAGAGATGAAGAAAAAGATCATTGATAAGTATGAAAGTGGAGTGCGTGTCTCCGAGCTGGCCAGGTTGTATAATAAACCCCAATCAACCATCGCTACTATTGGTGGTACAGCTGCTGCTGCACTGTCAGCTGCTGCTGCACTGTCAGCTGCTGCTGCACTGTCAGCTGCTGCTGCACTGTCAGCTGTTGCTGCTGCTGTTGTACCACCGTCAGCTGCTGCTGCTGCTGTAGCATCGTCTGCTGCTGCTGTAGCATCGTCTGGCTGCTGCTGTAGCATCGTCTGCTGCTGCTGCTGTAGCATCGTCTGCTGCTGCTGCTGTAGCATCGTCTGCTGCTGCTGCTGTAGCATCGTCTGCTGCTGCTGCTGTAGCATCGTCTGCTGCTGCTGCTGTAGCATCGTTGCTCTGCTGCTGCTGTAGCACTCGTCTGCTGCTGCTGCTGTAGCATCGTCTGCTGCTGCTGCTGCTTGTAGCATCGTCTGTGCTGCTGCTGTAGCATCGTCTGCTGCTGCTGCTGTAGCATCGTCTGCTGCTGCTGTAGCATCGTCTGCTGCTGCTGTAGCATCGTCTGCTGCTGCTGTACCACCGTCAGCTGCTGCTGCTGCTGTAGCACCGTTGTTGGTGTGGCTTATTGAGAATACCAAGAAACAATTAACCCCAGAGGATTTGCCACCCAGGATAACCCAAAAAAGTCAGTGTCATCGAAGACTGTCTAACTTATTTCCATTGGGGTCCTTAATCTTGTCTCCCAGGATGCAACCCACACCAGTCGACTAACACCCAGGTGAACAGGGAAAAATGCCTGGAACTAGTGCTCATATTGGTGAATTTAAAGCCAGCAAAGGTTGGTTTGAGAGATTTAAGAATCGTAGTGGCATACACAGTGTGATAAGGCCTGTTCTGGAAGAAAATGCCAAACAGGACCTACAGTACTCAGGAGGAAAAGGCACTCCCAGGACACTGTGTCTCATCAGTCATTGCTGCATCTTCAATAAAGGTAAGTGTCATTTATTCTTCATTTAGTAGAGTAGTACATGCACAATATATATTGTGCATGTACTACTCTACTATTGTGCATGTATCCTTCTCTTTGTGTGTAGGAAAATGTATATTTCATGTGGTAAATTTTTTTTTTCATACTTTTGGGTGTCTTGCACGGATTAATTTGATTTCCATTATTTCTTATGGGGAAAATTCATTCGCATACCGAACATTTCGCATAACCATCAGCCCTCTTGCACGGATTAAGGTCGCTATGCGGGGGTCCACTGTATATGAAAATAACCGGTTTCCCTGAATCCCTTCACTAAATATTACCCTGCTCACACTCCAACAGATCGTCAGGTCCCAAGTACCATTCGTCTCCATTCACTCCTATGTAACACGCTCTCGCACGCTTGCTGGAAGTCCAAGCCCCTCACCCACAAAACCTCCTTTACCCCCTCTCTCCAACCCTTTCGAGGATGACCCCTACCCCTCCTTCCTTCCCCTATAGATTTATATGCTTTCCATGTTATTCTACTTTGATCCATTCTCTCTAAATGACCAAACCCCTCCTCTGCCCTCTTGACTAATGCTTTTATTAACTCCACACCTTTTCCTAATTTCCACACTCCGAATTTTCTGCATAATATTTACACCACACATTGCCCTTAGACATGACATCTCCACTGCCTCCAACCGTCTCTTCGCTGCTGCATTTACCACCCAAGCTTCACATCCATATAAGAGTGTTGGTACTACTATACTTTCATACATTCCCTTCTTTGCCTCCATAGATAACGTTTTTTGACTCCACATATACCTCAACGAACCACTCGCCTTTTTTCCCTCATCAATTCTATGATTAACCTCATCCTTCATAAATCCATCTTCCAACACGTCAACTCCCAAGTATCTGAAAACATTCACTTCTTCCATACTCCTCCTCCCCAATTTGATATCCAATTTTTCTTTATCTAAATCATTTGATACCCTCGTCACCTTACTCTTTTCTATGTTCACTTTCAACTTTCTACCTTTACACACATTCCCAAACTCATCCACTAACCTTTGCAATTTTTCTTTAGAATCTCCCATAAGCACAATATCATCAGCAAAAAGTAACTGTGTCAATTCCCATTTTGAATTTGATTCCCCATAATTTAATCCCACCCCTCTCCCAAACACCCTAGCATTTACTTCTTTTACAACCCCATCTATAAATATATTAAACAACCATGGTGACATTACACATCCCTGTCTAAGACCTACTTTTACTGGGAAGTATTCTCCCTCTCTTCTACACACCCTAACCTGAGCCTCACTATCCTCATAAAAACTCTTTACAGCATTTAGTAACTTACCACCTATTCCATATACTCGCAACATCTGCCACATTGCTCCTCTATCCACTATCATATGCCTTTTCTAAATCCATAAATGCAATAAAAACTTCCCTACCTTTATCTAAATACTGTTCACATATATGTTTCAATGTAAACACTTGATCTACACATCCCCTACCCACTCTGAAGCCTCCCTGCGCATCCGCAATCCTACATTGTCTTGCATCTAATTCTTTCAATTATAACCCTACCGTATACTTTTCCTGGTATACTCAGTAAACTTATTCCTGTATAATTTTTACAGTCTCTTTTGTCCCCTTTCCCTTTATATAAAGGGACTATACGTGCTCTCCGCCAATCCCTTGGTACCTTCCCCTCTTTCGTACATTTATTAAACAAAAGTACCAACCACTCCAACACTATATCCCCCCCTGCTTTTAACATTTCTGTCATGATCCCATCAGTTCCAGCTGCTTTACCCCCTTTCATTCTACGTAATGCCTCACGTACCTCCACCACACTTACATTCTGCTCTTCTTCACTCCTAAAAGATGGTATACCTCCCTGGCCAGTGCATGAAATTACCGCCTCCCTTTCTTCCTTAACATTTAAAAGTTCCTCAAAATATTCTCGCCATCTACCTAATACCTCCCTCTCCCCATCTACTAACTCCCCTACTCTGTTTTAACTAAGAAATCCATCTTTCCCTAGGCTTTCTTAACTTGTTTAACTCTCTCCTAAAATTTTTCTTATTTTCATTAAAATTTCTTGACAGTGCTCTCCCACTCTATCATCTGCTCCGTTTTGCACTCTCACCACTCTCTTCACCTTTCTTTACTCCTCCATATACTCTGCTCTTCTTATAACACTTCTGCTTTGTAAAAACCTCTCATAAGCTACCTTTTTTCTTTTATCACACCCTTTACTTCATCATCCCCAATCACTCCTCTTTCCTCCTGCCCCACCCTCCTATAACCACAAGCTTTTGCCCACATTCTAATACTGCATTTTTTAAAACTAATTCCCATTCTCTCTCTCTCTCAAACTCACTCTCTCTCTCAAACTCACTCTCTCTCTCAAACTCACTCTCTCTCTCAAACTCACTCTCTCTCTCAAATCACTCTCTCTCTCAACTCCTCTCTCTCTCAAACTCTCTCTCAACTCTCTCAAAACTCACTCTCTCACTCTCTCACCTCACTCTCTCACTCTCTCTCACTCCTCACTCTCTCTCTACTCTCACCCTCACTCTCACCTCTCTCTCTCTCTCCTCACTCCTCTCTCCTCTCTCTCATCTCTCCTCCTCCTCTCTCTCTCACTCTCTCACTCTCATCTCTCACTCTCACTCTCTCACTCTCTCACTCTCTCTCTCACTCTCTCACTCTCTCTCTCACTCTCTCTCTCAACTCTCTCCTCTCAACTCTCTCTTCTCAAACTCTCTCTCTCTCAACTCTCTCTCTCTCTAAACTCTCTCTCTCCTCAACTCTCTCTCTCTCAAACTCTCTCTATCTCAAACTCCTCTCTCTCTCAAACTCCTCTCTCTCAACTCTCTCTCTCTCAAACTCTCTCTCTCTCAAACTCTCTCTCTCAAACTCATCTCTCAAACTCACTCTTCAAACTCTCTCTCTCTCAAACTCTCTCTCTCTCAAACCTCTCTCTTCTCAAACTCTCTCTCTCTCAAACTCTCTCTCTCTCAAACTCTCTCTCAAACTCCCTCTCAAACTCTCTCTCTCTCAAACTCTCTCTCTCTCAAACTCTCTCTCTCTCAAACTCTCTCTCTCAAACTCTCTCTCTCTCAAACTCTCTCTCTCTCAAACTCTCTCTCTCTCAAACTCTCTCTCTCTCAAACTCCTCTCTCTCAAACTCTCTCTCTCTCAAACTCTCTCTTTTCAAACTCCTCTCTCTCAAACTCTCTCTCTCTCAAACTCTCTCTCTCTCAAACTCTCTCTCTTCTCTAAACTCCTCTCTCTCAAACTCTCTCTCCTCAAACTCTCTTTTCTCTCTCAAACTCCCCTCTCTCTCTCAAACTCTCTCTTCTCAAATCTCTCTCTCTTCTCTCTCTCTCTCTCTATCTCTCTCTCTATCTCAAACTCACTCTCTCAAACTCTCCCCTCACTCTCACTCTCACTCTCCTCTCTCTCTCTCTCTCTCTCTCTCTCTCTCTCTCTCTCTCTCTCTCTCTCTCAAACTCTCAAAACACATCGGCCGTATCCCACTGAGGCAGGGTGACCCAAAAAGAAAGAAAATCTCCAAAAAGAAAATACTTTCATCATCATTCAACACTTTCACCTCACTCACACATAAGTAGATGGCAAATTGAATTTGTACCTAAAAATTATACAAAATTGTTTTAAATGGTTTTCTTTCGTAGATTTGGCTAATCCAAAGGCGAACAAGAAGAATGCTGGATTTACCAAGGAAGAGAGGGATAGCTTCACTGATCTCTTATCGGCTGGTTTTGTGGACTCGTTCAGACATTTGTATCCTGATGCAACTGCAAAATACACGTTTTGGACCTACATGATGAACTGCAGGGCAAAAAATATTGGATGGTTAGTTTAAATTTAATTTTGTATGTGAAATGTTTGTTATAGATGGGTAATAGGCTTTATCCATGGAACACATGAAAATCAAAGTACATTACTTCATATATAATTCAGGAATCTGCAAATACCTCTATGTCCGCATAATAAATTTAGTTTCAAATGACTTCTCATTAAATATTGTTCTCGGTTGAGCTTGTTATGATTGAAAGTCAGTGTTTAGTTTATAATTTAAGGGTCGTGAGACAAGAAAACTTATGTTTGTTTATAATTTAAGGATCATTAGCCAAGAAAATTTGATTATTTTATATGTTACAGTTCATGATTCAAAAAGAAAAAAAAAAGAGCACCATGAAGCTTTTCAGTAAAAACAATGAGAAATTAAAACATACAAAATTTGAGGTTTTTAAATATCTGTATACAGCTGCTGCACTTTTCCCATATGTCATACAACCATACCCGGCGGGGGGGAGAACCCGCCATCAGAGAGTCGGAAAACCCCCTCCAAAATCCCATTTTTTTAAAAGGGTATGCTAACTGATGTGTGTACTTTCATAATGCATAAATTGAACATTAAAAAAATCTTAATCATTTAGTGAAAAAAAAAGTAGAAAATTTAAAAATACATATCTGTAAATTTGAAGTGGGGCAAAGGGGAAGAGTATAGGAGAAAAAAAGAGAGAAGTTTTTAAGAGAGTGGGGAAGCAATGAAAAAAGGCAAATGAAAGTGGGTGAGATGTTATCAAAAAATTTTGTTGAAAATAAGAAAAAGTTTTGGGTGAGATTAACAAGTTTAAAAAAGCCTAGAGAAAAATGGATTTTTCATTAAAAAAAGGGGAGGAGAGTTTTTAAATGGGAGTTAGAGGATTGGGGAAGTGGAAGGAATATTTTTGAGGAATTGGGGTTAAAAGTTGATGAAATAGGAACTGGATTTCGTGTATAGGGCAAGGGGGAATAGCATCTTGTAGGAGTAGGGGAGCCATTTTTGGTGTGGGGGGGAATTGGGGCGTAGGTAAAAGAAAGGGGGTAAGGGAGCCGGGGGTTGATGGGGTAAAGATAGAAATGTTTTAAAAGCAGGTGGGGATATAGTTTTGGAGGGTTGGTGCAATTATTTAATAAATGTATGGAAGAGGGTAAGGTACTAGGGATTGGCAGAGAGCATGCATAGTTCCTTTGTATAAAGGCAAAGGGATAAAAGAGAGTGCAAAAATTAAGGGGATAAGTCTGTTGAGTGTACCGGGTAAAGTGTATGGTAGATTTTATAATTGAAAAGAATTAAGAGTTAAGAACGGAGAATAGGATAGCAGATGAACAAGGAGGCTTTAGGAAAGGGAGGGGGTGTGTGGACCAGGTGTTTACAGTGAAACAATAAGTGAACAGTATTTTAGATAAGGCTAAAGAGGTCTTGTGGCATTTTTGGATTTGGAAAAGGCGTATGACCGGGTGGATAGGGGGGCAATGTGGCAGATGTTGCAAGTGTATGGTGTAGGAGGTTAGTTTACTGAAAGCAGTGAGGTTTTTACGAGGATAGTGAGGCTCAAAATTAGAGTATGTAGGAAAGAAGGAAATTTTTTCCCAGTAAAAGTAGGCCTTAGACAAGGATGTGTGATGTCACCGTGGTTGTTTAATTATATTTATAGATGGGGTTTTAAGAGAAGTAAATGCGAGGGTCTTGGCAAGAGGCGTGGAGTTAAAAAATAAAGAATCACACACAAAGTGGGAGTTGTCACAGCTGCTCTTTGCTGATGACACTGTGCTTTTGGGGAGATTCCAGAAGAGAATTGCAGAGATTGGTGGATGAATTTGGTAGGGTGTGCAAAAGAAGAATTAAAGGTGAATACTGAAAGAGTAAGGTATGAGGTAACAAAAAAAATTAGGTTGAAAGATTGAATATCAATCGGAGGGAGAATATGGAGTAGGTGAACGTATTCAGATATTTGGGAGTGGCGTGTCCACGGATGGTCTATGAAAGATGAGGTGAATCATAGCAATTGATGAGAAAAAGAGTAGTGGTGCACTTAGGAGTCTGTGGAGACAAAGATCTTTGTCCTTGAGCAAGAGGGGAATGTATGAATATAGTTTTACCAAACGCTCTTATATGGGTGTGAAGCGTGGGTGAATAAATGTTGCAGTCCGAGGGAAGGCTGGAGCAGTGGAGATTGTCTTGTCTGAGGCAATGTATGGTTTGAATAAATGCAGAGATTTCGTATTTGGAAGTTAAGAGGATGCGGATTACCAAAAACTGTTGTCCAGAGGGCTATGAGGAAGGGTTGTTATAATGGTTCGGACATGTAGAAAATGGAAAAGCGAAACAGAATTGACTTCTAAGTGTATCAGTCTGTAGTGGAAGACGCGGGGTAAGGGTCGCCTAGGAAGGGTTGAGTGAGGGGGTAAAGAGGTTTTGTGTGCGAGGGGCTTGGACTTCCAGCAGGCTATGCGAGCGTTGTTGAATAGGTAATAGACTAAATGGTTTTAAATACTTGACGTGCTGTTGAGTACAAAGTACACTTTTGAAGGATTCAGGAAACCCGGCAGGCCGGACTTGAGTTCCTGAGAATGAATACAGTGGCCTGCACTCTGAAGAGGTGTTTTAATGTTGCAGTTTAAAAACATTAATTAAAAAGCACCCTTCTCCAAGACAGTGATGGAGGAATGATGTGAAAGTTTTCTTTTTTATGCCACCCTTTTGCCTTGGTGGAATCGTCCGTTTTGATAATAAAAAAAAAAAAAAAAAAATCTGTAACTTACGAATAACCCACACCTTAGGAGAGGAATTTAGATGATCTGGTCCATCCGGGACCATTGTCAAGTGGCCCTAAGTGTGCGTTATCACATTTTGCCCAAAGCCAATAACAAATATGAACCCTAACACTTTAAAAAAAATTTGAAAAAAAATGAATACATACAAAAATTTTGAGAAAAAATTTTTTTGAAAATTTTTTAAACATTTGTAATAAACTTGTCACAGACTCCTCTTTCAAGGGGGGCCCTTGGCGTGGTAAAGAGGCCTTGGTCAAGAATTAGCCCCTTTTCGTTCCTTCCCTCAGCCCCGAACCAAATTTCCCCCCCCCAATCCCCCCTTCCCATCCATTCCCCCTCCCCTCCTCCTCCTCCCCCCCTCCCCCCCTCCCTTTTGCCCTTTCCCCTTTTTTGGGCCTTTGGGATTTTTCCCCACAGCACACTAGTTCATAGGGGGGGGAAGGGGTACCGGGGGTCCATCCCTTTCCTTGAGGTTCTTGGGGTGGCGTATTTTTGGCCGGGGGTTTGGGATTCCCGGGGGATGCCTGCCCCTCTCTGGTACCCGAGGTGCTTTGGGGTCTTCGGGCGAGGGGTTATCTCGGGAACCACATTTGATTGGGGGGGTGGTGGCCGAAGGGGAGCTTTGGGGGAAAACCCGGGCCCGCCCCTTTTTTTGTCCGGGGTAGCTCGGCAATGTGGGGTTCTACCCCGGGATTGCTTTTTTTGGCTGAAGGGTAGGGTATGGCAGGGGTTCCTCTGCATCTGCGCTACTTCGGTGCGGAGGGAGATTTCGGGCCTTTCACCCCCTAGGAACTTCCCTCCCCGGTCCTCCCTTTTTTTATTTTTGGGTTTTTTTTTTTTTTATTTTCTTTTTTTTTTAAAAAAAAAAAAAAGAAAAAAGAAGTCCTAACCGGAGTCCAATCCATCCCCCACTACCCCCGGCCCCTTATTTTAGCACTCTATTCGACATTCCCTCTCTTTTGGCCACTCTTTGGACACTTCAAGGGCTCCTTACCTCTGCTGGTGCTTTTTTTCCTCACCTTCTTCAGTCCCCCGGGGCTTCCACTGAATCCTTTGATTTGTCTAACCTCCCTCTCCTTTGACCATGTTCCGCCTCTCCCTCTTGGGGGCGACGATTTTCGAATCACCACCCTTCTCAGTCAACACTCTGGTCCCACTTCTAAACCCAAGACAATCTCCTGACATGTTTCTTCGTTACCTTCCCCCTTCACTCGGAAAAAAACTGACACTCATGCACTCCCTCCCCACACCGTTTTGGGCCACCAAAAGGGCTAAATTTTTACTTTACGACCCACTTTTTCTACTGCCCACTTTTTGCCATATATTTGGGAAAGCGCTCCTAGTCATTTTGGTAGAGATATTTTTCCCTTTTTTGGGCTTAAGGTGGTACGCGCATCTCACAGTCCAGAATCTACCCAAACCTGATCTTTCTCTTCTTTTTACAATTTGATACTATTCCTATCACAACGAAAACATCTTCCCTCAATTTTTTTAGTGGTCTTTTTCTGCCCCCAAACCCTAGTCCAACGAATTTTCCAGACTGTGGAATACATTCTCAACATCTGGAACTCCGGAAACTCCCAATTCTCAAGTAGACGCTTTTGTTCTTCCCCCCCCGCAGGGAAGACTAACCCTTGCAAAGGGCCGTTTTAAATTTTGACAGCCTAACTCCCATCCTCTTTTAGTGCAACCCTTTACAAGTTCGGAAGGTGATCCCTACACCACAACAGTGTAGGAATTGCTGGCGATTTGGCCACCCAGCAAAATATTGCAGATCTATAGCCGAATGCCCAGTCTGTGGTGCTGATGACCATTTAATACATCTTGCAGTCGACTTCCCTCTTGCCTTAATTGTCATGAGGCTCACCCTTCATACTCTAGCTGTTGCCAGGTCTACTTAAATGAGCGGGAAATTCGTTGCCTCGAAGAGGCAGAAGGTCTCCCTTATGCTATGGCAGTTTCTCATCTCCGCCTCCAAGGGAGACTACCCCGTGTTTCTTATTCTCGTGTTTTAAAACTTCCCCCCACTTCTGGGGTCCCATCTTCTGCAGCCTCCTCTGCGGTTGCCAGTCCCATAGTCACTCCTGTATCTAATTCTTTTGCTGTCCTAGGCTCAGACGTCCCTACTTCAACACCTCAATCTGTCCCCACTTCTTCGTGCTCTCCCTCACAAACTCCGGTATCGACAAGACCTCGTACGACACCTCCCAATCGTCCCTCTACTTCTCAGAGGTCCAATAAATCTCCTT